CTTGTGATAACGGTCTAAAATGCAGTTCAGTTCATATTTGCTGATGCGGATTCTAGTTTCCCACTGCAGGGATTCATTAGCCGTTTGCAAAATCGCATTGGTTAGTTATCAAGAAGAAAGAAGCCACGCAGTCCTGATAGTATTTTCTGTAACTGTTTGCTTCATCTCACCGATAGTGGCTCCAATTTCATCAACCACAGCAAATTAACCCACCTTAAAAAACCAAATGGGTTTGCTTTAATCTTTCATCAATTGTGCCCTCTTTTCAAACTATTTTATTGGTATCACAAATAGTTCCAGATTATCAAGTTATATCTTATCGATGTGACAATCGTGGCTGATGAAGAGGCCATATCTCAGATCATTCGGTTGGGTAGCGGTTAACCAATGTGAGTTAATTAAACGGGTGTGCTTTATCAGGCAGGTTATATCGGGAAAAGGTAGAGTGTTTTTGTAGACTTTCAACAGTGGTGAAGTGATAAATGTCTGAACAAAGTGAATTATCTTCCATCAGCCTGTGAATGAAAGATGCACTCAACGAACAGACACCGGTAAGTATTGGCCGAGAGAAAGAAGCGAAAGCATTTTGTTAAACGGCATGCAATTTGAATGAACGAGATCTCCCAATCAACGGCAATCCTAGTTCAATGGTGATAAGAAAAAAAAATCGCTAAGTAACTTTCTCCGAAAAAGTGAACGTGAATATCGATCATAGAAAATGATGCTGTCATAGGCCTGTTTACGATCAGATAATTGAGCGCAGGCGTCTGGTTCCTTTCACTCGAACTAGATCGGTTAATTGCAGTATTTTGCTTCCCAGTCGAGTTGAAGTTCTTATTTTGACAAAGTCCAGTTTTGGTTATGATCAACGCGGCCAAGTAGAGCTGCACTATTAGTAAACATGGGAGGAAATAAGCTTATGCGAAGCAGCTTGTGAGAAACGAAATACTCGGGTGTGTTTCAAAAAGAAGTTACAATAACTCAGGTCCCAATCCGTGCGTGACCTGGAGGAAAGACGCACCTCGTGAAGGACATTGCCATTTTTCTCGATTGTATTTAAGCATCAATAGTGAGTATGATTGGTGAGTTTTACCCAAACAAATGTCAGATAGTTGTTCAGCTGCTGAAATTGTTTGCCCACAGTCATTTGGTTTAAGGAAATATAAAATGCACGACGAAGAATCAATTAAATAAATGACAAACGTTCGAAAAACTGTCGCCTAAAGGTGGTGGGTTGATTGCGAGAAGGTGTTGGTATGTGAAAGATCCGTTGAGTCATCAAACCCACCCGGGTATGTAAATATGAACCCATGGTCAAACTGAAAACTCAATCTTGAAAAAAGCGATTAATTTGTACATTGAAGCCATTCTGCTAATGTTTGCCTCAGGCCATTAGATTACGAATTTTGGCATTAAAAAGTAGGGCATAATAGTTTTTTTACTGCTCAAAATCTTTAAAGCAACTGGCAATATTATTGTCGACAAGAGTTTGCTGATCATGACATGGGTTCCTTTTTAGAGATGATTGAAGTTTATGGGAACACAGTATATCGTTTTTCTGTCCGTCTGAAGAAATCGCTTTTCTATGGATTAAACAGGCGCAAACGCTATATCATCTGAGTTCTCTAAGTTTATTTCAACCCTATCTATTCGCGGTAAGAGTTAACTTAACAGACAGTTCTCTCTCAGCAAGAATTTCAAAGGCATTGGATGAGGATTTGTGTCAATTGGTGAATAGTTTCGCACGGTGCTTGCTCATTTATGATCTCATTGAACAATGGGTTTTGACAGGCAAATATGTGAATTCAAACAGATTACGAGCTTCATATTTACTCACTCTGAGTGCTTGCTTGAAATTATGACCTGTCCCGGTATACTCTCTGTTCTCTGAACGGATAGTTTAAAACGTTATGCCAATGATCAAATACTTGTGCCGAACTAGCAAAGTTAGTTCATCTGTCCCCTAGAATAATCATCGGGATTCTGTAATCCATTAACGAGCAAACTAGGAGTGATTAGTACGCACAACCGGGTAAACAACATGAACGTGTTTTCAGTCTGTCGGTCTCTGGGTGACGAAAATGTGCGTATGTCCTCGTTCATTGATTGAATACTCGACTCATTGAATCCTTGACTCCAATTCGTTTCGTATATCTGCGATTTTCTCTGGGATTTGAAAACTTTGAGTCTGGCTAAGTGCCGTCAGAACTTAACCTCTGTTTGGTGCAAATTCTACAATAGCTCTCATTCAAAAACGACCGTATTTGATCGTTTGGTTTTTGAGCATATGTTACGCAGCTTGTCAAATGCGAAACGGAAATAGTGCTCAGAAATCCTTCCCTTTGATACAGATTAGTGTGTTTTCATCCCGACTGTCACGACAATCATGTTCCATAACGTTTTTCATTGATTAAAACTAGACATCAGATCAGGATTGTTCATCTGTTTCTCTGAAGGATAAACAGGATGACAAAAATTTGTCTCATGGAGGTGCATGAGCAAGTTACAGTGTTATGTTATGACTGTGGTAATGGCTCGGCCATGCTTGTTGAATTCCTGGACCTCTATCCGTTACCTTAATGCCATGAGACGCATCCACAAAAGATCCCACTAAGGGCCAGGCTAACTGGTTAGAAACTCTTCGCTTCTCATTCGTGATATTTCGCTCTGTTTCTATTTAGTCTTCTCGTTTGGATTGCATTGAATGATAAAATCTCTCACTGAGCGCATTTTTAAAACTAGTTCCCTTCAGGGTAATACCAGAATCCATTGAATTAGACTTGATCAATATTTGGTGCTCGTAATATCTGGAAACATCTTTATTTTCTATTAAAACCATCTTCACACCCTTTGTTGCTAATCTAACTTTCACATCATGTTGCCTACTCTATTTCGGGAACGATAACTCACATAAAGCGCCCCTAACAGACTCAGTTCACATTTGAATTAGTCGATTAGAGGAGTGACAAGAAGCGGGATGATAGCTTACTAGGGTCACGAGAAATTCCGCGGCAGTCAGTGCGTGAGACCAGTCACGTGACTGACAACCAGGTTCCATGGGAGCATGGGCCACGTAGACTTGAATCAACCGTTCGATCACTCGTTCCGGTGTGGTAAATGTCGGATAGGTCACACGAAACACTTGAGGAAATAGCGTATTTAAATTTTGTGCTACAATTGAAAGAAATTAAGGTTTCTTTAAAAGCATCTAAACCAATGGAAGATTTAAAAACGAAACGGGAGAACAATTGTGCAGAGCCACCAAAACAAGAGTGTAACTGAAACTGTATCAAATATCCCAGGATTGATTGGTCACACCTAGCATAAAGACATTACTTCCGCAGGTGAACAGCAGAGATGGCCGATAAGTTGGTCAAAGCAAGCTGCCCGAAATCGTTTCTTCAATGAAAGTTATGGAAGAACGCAAGTAATAAATGGTAACTTGAAGAATTGTTTACACCCAACCTTGTCTAGTATACTTTTTCGTGTTACATTTAAATCGAGGAAAAGATGCATGACCCGTCGC